AAGAAAACCTAATCAAACAACAGAGAAGCAAACTCTAAATACTAATTTTATTCCACTTAGCACTTGAAAATGAATACACTAGGTCTTGAAAGAGGCCCAGCTAAGACTTCTACTAAGCTTTAAATTATCTGGTAAAACTGAGTTTTCTTTCTGGAGGGAAGAGCTTCTGTCTGGGTTTTCTTTTTCTTTTTAAGGAAAAGAAATCTGTATAATTATACGTCTATGTTTACATGTGTGGAACGAAGTATGGATAAAGAAAGAAAAATGGACCATCAAGAAGCTAGTTATCACTAAGTACGTAAAGGTGTAATAGTCTAACAACGCCAACGAAATACATACTGTAACAACACTGTAATTTAAACCAAGCTATCAAAATATTTCAAAAGAGAACAAATTTTATGATTTTTAAAATGAAATACGATCATTGCTATTAACAATATGCTATAAAATAAATATACTAGACATAGCTTCTGTTAATAACTACTACAGTTTCTCAGGAAACAATCTTTACAGAGCAAGTCTGATTAATGTACAAGAGACAGCTTTTCTTCTTTGAGCCCTAACCATATGCCATTGTTTCCAAGAGAGTGTTTATAAAAGCTATAAAGATGATAATGTTTTAAACGTCACCTTGCCTATATTTAGCAATTGTCAATACAAAATATCTCTTATTTTACTTTCTCTCCACCCTCTATTGCCTAGTTAGACATTATTTTTCCATCTCTATATAGGTTGGTCTTCCTAAACAGGAAAATAACCAACATAATCTTACACACAAAATTTGACGACATTTCTTTCAGAGTAATATGACCTGTTTGACATCTGAAGATCAAGACAGGGATAATGATTTATTAGGTCAAACCACACAGGACTTATATATAATAAGCTGCAAGACAAAGCTTATTAAATGATTCCACTAGTCACATAACTGAATATAAAAGGGGAAACGTTTCACTGACTTTGGTCAAACATGATAGTTGCCGCAGTAGATTAAAGGTCCCAGAAGTACTCTTAGTTAGGTTGGGGACCAAATGTCACTCCATATGATTTTGTTCTTCATGGGCAATGTCTCCAAAGGGCTAGATTTGTAAAAATCTAGCCTGAACCCAGGTATGAATTTTGTTTTGCTTTTCCCTTTTGAGTGGATAAGCACTTGGTGCATGAAAATATCACCTTTCTTTCTTATCAACAAAAGCACTAACAAACAGAATTCAGAAGAATTCAGATTTACAGATCAAGAAATATGGCAAATGTTCTCAGTGTCAGAACAAACATGAAATTATCCAGGAAGTAAATAATAAGTTTCTGGAACATCCAAATGTTGGCTCTCCTACTTGCCATCTACCAAAGCATGGAGAAAAGTAAGAAACAGAAATAACAGAAGCTCAAATTACTCATGTGGTGCTTCTTAATATATCTGTTGACTATCTTCTGTGGGAAAAGATTGCAATAAATAGGAAAAGATGTGGTGATTATATGTAGCTTCTGTTTCTGCAGTTCCAGCCCCTAAGTTTTATTTTCCAAATAGCCAAGGACTGCAGTTATCAAAAAGATAACCCTTTCCAAATTAAGGGAATAATAATGGAAAGAAATAATTGTTAAATAAATAAAAGTAAACATATATTTTGCCATATTATATATTATTTACATTTTATATGTTATGTGCATAAAATTTTATTGATATATACTCCTAAAAGTTAAAATCTTGGTTGCCACTGAGTAATAAAATCAGAAGTCATTTTTATTTTTACCTCTATACTTTTATGCATTTTCTGTTGCTCTACAATGAAGATGGAATGATTTTATACTCAGGGGAAGAAGGGGACATTCTTCTCCTAGCACCACACCCACGTCAAGAAGAAGAAGCATGAGTACGAAGAGGGGACAGAAATATGATAAAAGAGCCTGCTTTATCCTCTTCATCTGCCATTTTTCCTCTTCCTCTCTTCTCTGCTTTCCTCGGCAGAAGCCATGAGTTCTTCTGGGGTATGGGCTGACTCCCTCCTCCAGCACTGACCAGTGTGCCTCTGATTCTCACCAAGCCTTGGTTTTCCCTTCTACAGAATGAAGATAATAATAGTACTTATCTCCTAAGAAGTCCAGGCAAGATAATGCAAGTACAGTTCTTAGCACAGGGCCTGGCTCAAAGAGAGGACTCAACAATGTTAAATGCACATTTCTTCACCAGTCTTGCCAGATCTGGGAAATCTTAAGACTTACAAAATACTTTATGACATACAATATGCTTAAACAAACAGTAAGTAAATTAATCTATAAACTGAAAGTAAAATTCAGAGCTGAAATTCAAGCCTTATCCTCCTCATGCCTGAGTTTGATAACCAAACAGCACTTTTGAGCTGGACTGACCCAGTGGTGTGCTGAAGCCACCTCTAGACTTATAAGAGACCATTGTTAAATTTCAAGAATTTTGCAAGCCAGTTGTTAAACACAGCCATTATTTAATTAATTTATTTATTTTTTAAATTTCTGACCAGTAGCTTCTTCTTTTTTTTTTAACATCTTTATTGGAGTCTAATTGCTTTACAATGGTGTGCTAGTTTCTACATTATAACAAACTGAATCAGCTATACATATACATATATCCCCATAACTCCTCCCTCTTGCGTCTCCCTGCTACCCTCCCTATCCCACCCCTCTAGGTGGTCACAGAGCACTGAGCTGATCTCCCTGTGCTATGCGGCTGCTTCCCACTAGCTATCTATTTTACATTTGGTAGTGTATATATGTCCATGCCACTCTCTCACTTCATCCCAGCTTACCCTTCCCCCTCCCCATGTCCTCAAGTCCGTTCTCTATGTCTGTCTCTATGTCTTTATTCCTGTCATGCCCCTACGTTCTTCAGAACCATTTTTTTTAGATTCCATATATATAACAAAGCCATTATTAAAAATTAAGTTATATAATTTTATAAACTATAATATGTAATTCACAATTAAGTAAAAATATTTTAAAAGGGTAATAAATACACAAAACTCATCACTTTCCAATTCTTTTACTATCATCTTTACTCTTAAGGTTACTTGCATCTATTATAGCTGTATGGTGGAAATGCTGTTTAACGTACTGCTATTCTGCATCTCTGCCCAAGTCCACTTTCAGTCAAGTCAAATCGGTAGTTTAAAAATGGCCAAATTGGGCTTCCGTGGTGGCGCGGTGGTTGGGGGTCCGCCTGCCAGTGCAGGGGACGCGGGTTCGCGCCCCGGTCCGGGAGGATCCCACGTGCCGCGGAGCGGCTGGGCCCGTGAGCCATGGCCGCTAAGCCTGCGCGTCCGGAGCCTGTGCTCCGCAACGGGAGAGGCCGTGGCGGTGAGGGGCCCGCGTACCAAAAAAAAAAAAAAAAAAGAGGCCAAATTGGCAAATGCTACAAATCAAGATTTGATATTGTTTTGTTCATTTGAGAGAGATGGAGAATATGCATATCAGACTTAAAAGTGTGCCACATCTGTAGCTGTTAACTCTGAGTAGAACAAAAAAAAATTATTGATGTATTCTTCCAGCATTTAAAACTATTATACAATATTTTTCACAGAACTACACTTGTTCATCAATTGCAAACATAGAGTGGCTATGGATTCAAGAGTTTGACAAAATCAACAATAGTGTTATATGAGAATCTATTGGCTTCTGGAACTTACAATAAAGAGTAGTGATTATTTCATTATTATTTATAAATTATAGCTACATATCCTTTACATCAGTAAAATTTATAATAAATGCACACGTGCGCACACACACATTCTTTTCCTGGAGAGCCAGTGGTTAAAAACTTACCAGCACACCACTAAGCTAACCATTGCTTTAACCTACAAGGAACCTATAAGCTCTCAGCAGAGCTCCAGGCCCATCTTCAAAGCACTAAAGGTGGGGTTTAAAAGGTTTTAGCTTCAGTTGAGTCTACCCAACTGGATTATGATATTTAAATACGGTACACTGAATATCCCCCTCCTGCATGATGATAAAGCAAGCATATAGAGCTTCAAGTTCCGCCATAATTATGGAAAATTTACTATCTAGAAACCCAAATTTGGTAAAGTCAGGATAGCTTTCTACAACTCATGAAAGCACTAAAAGGTAAGTAAAATATGCCCCTCTCTGCCTCCAAGAGCAGGGAGAAAAACCACATTATCCTATAACACAAGAGAAGTGGTACGGGTAGGTACAAAATGCTAGGAGAAGACTGGGGAAAGAGCCATGAGTTTGGAACCCAGGTCCTGGTCAATGGCAACTATGTCGTCTGCCTCAAAGCAAACGAGAGAAAGGAGGAACGTCCCAGGTAGAAGGAAAAATCTGAGCAGTATAGCTGAACGGTTAGGAGGAAGGATTCTAGAATCAGACAGCCTGGGTTCAAACCCAGGCTCCCCTACTCACTATGTAAACTTGGGCAAGTTACTCACTATGTAAACTTGGGCAAGCCTCTGTTTCTATCTGCAAAAGGAGGATGGTAACTTCTTGCTCAGACCACAGTAGTGAGAATCAAATGAGATTACATACGTAAAGTGCTTAGAACAGTGCCACACAATTGGCCGATAAATGTAACTACTACCGTGATTATTGTTGTCAGACTCAAGTGTTGAAAAGGTTATCTTTAGGTGTTGTGGGGAAGGCTGCAGGAATTGGGTAGAACATTGCAATCAGAGGAAAGAGAATAAGCAAAAAACACAGAAGACATGTTGGGGACCAGTTAGTTAGCCCGGAGGCACGAGAACGGGCCTCATGTGGGCCAAGGCCATGCACCGCCACAGCAGATAAGGCTGGAAGACTAGACCAGCAGTCAGCCAGAAGATGTCAGATACACAGCCATTCCTCCCCCTCTTCTGAGAAAATACAAAGCTGAGTTTTTAAGATGGCCTTATCATTTTTCTCTTGACAGGTACTGTAAATTGTGCCTCTGATATATTTCTGAAGAGCCTATAGGGGGATGATAAATCAGGTGATGTTACATATATTCATCAGTACATTAATTGTTATTAAATACTCACAACACCTAAAATTGATCTGCACCAAGATTTACTGCTCTGACGGAAATCCACCTGGAAAAGAATACATGATAATTAAGAAGAATGACCACAGATTTGCAGCAATGTGAGGACTATAAACAAGATTTAAACTCCTCCCTGAGGGAATAACTAGATGATGTTTATTCTGTAGATGAACAATGTGATTGTAACAATGGAAGAGATTGATGAGATTTTTTTTTCCCCTGTGGGAGTCTGATTTAGCCAGCTATCTCAGGTAATAGTAGGATGCAGGACTAAGTAGTCCAGCACCACTTGAAAATTCTTTGTAAAGGGTAAATAGCACATATCCTCAGTGACCTGGAAAAATAGATTATAAGTCAAGTGGGCACAAACTGGCACAGAAGCTGCAAACTGGCATAAAAGCAACCAGAATTGAAGAAAACAATTTTTTTCTAAATTAGCCACAACTGAATTCAACCAAATTAGAGAGAAAAGGGACAAGGAGAGTCATGTTATCATGGAGAAGGGAATAAATCATTCTCTTTTTGTAGGCTTTCGGCCTGTAGGCTGCTGTATGGGTCTAACAGGTAATTTTTAGTAATCTCTCCTGTCCAGGAAATGAAGAATCACCTGGCCTCAGTAAACACACAAACTAAAAGCAAGGCAACATTAGCCTTACAGATTCTAGCTACTTAAAGTATAAGAAGATATCAGCTGGGACCTTGTTAGAAACACAAAATCTTGGGCCCCACCCTAGATCTCCTGAATCAGAATCTGCACTTTTAACAATAATCCCCAGGAATCTAGGTGATCTCTTTGCACACTGAAGTTTAAGAAGCACTGATCTAGGACTTCCCTGGTGGCACAGTGGTTAAGACGCCACCTGCCAATGCAGGGGACACGGGTTCGATCCCTGGTCCGGGAAGATCCCACATGCCGTGGAGCAACTAAGCCCGTGTGCCACAACTACTGAGCCTCCGCTCTAGAGCCCGTGAGCCACAACTACTGGGGCCCATGAACCACAACTACTGAAGCCTGCACGTCTAGAGCCCATGTTCTGCAACAAGAGAAGACAGCAATGAGAAGCTCGTGCATCACAACGAAGAGTAGCCCCTACTCGTCACAACTAGAGAAAGCCTGTGCGAAGCAACAAAGACCCAATGCAGCCAAAAATAAATTTAAAAATTAAAAGAAAAAAGCACTGGGGCTTCCCTGGTGGCGCAGTGGTTGAGGGTCCGCCTGCCAATTCAGGGGACACGGGTTCGTGCCCTGTTCCGGGAGGATTCCACATGCTGCAGAGCGGCTGGGCCCGTGAGCCATGGTCGCTGAGCCTGCGCTCCGCAACGGGAGAGGCCACAACAGTGAGTGCCCCGCGTACCGAAAAAAAAAAAAAAAAAAAGCACTGATCTAGAGAGCTAGACGTTCATTCGTTCATTCATTCATTCAATAAACTTTCAAGATCTGTACTGCTAATATGATAGGTAGCCACTAGCCACACATGGATATTTAAATTTCAATTAATTAAAATTAAATCAAATTTTAATTTAATTTCAGGGGTTCATTGGAACTAACCACAATTTAAGTGTTCAATTAGCACAGGTAGGTAGTGTCTACCAGATATGTTTCCATCATCACAGAAATTTCTATTGGATATAGTTGATTTAGACACTTGGGACACACCACTGAAGAAAGAAGAGAAAGATTCTTATGCTCATGAAGCTTAGATTCTAGCAGCAGGGAAGCAGATAATAAACAGTAAACAACTTAAGTGACTAAATTAAAGGTATGTTGGATGGTTAAATGCTAAAGACAAATATTAAAAATAGAGCAGCCTTGGGAGTTCCCTGGTGGCCTAGTGGTTAGGATTCCAGGCTTTCACTGCCGTGGCCTGGGATCAATCCCTGGTCAGGGAACTGAGATCCCACGAGCACACAGTGCGGCCAAAAAAACAAAAAAAACAAAAACCTAGAGCAGCCTAGAGAAGGATCAGGAAGATGGAGGGACAGTTAGATTTTAAATATGGCAGGTCTAGTGGGTTTCAACAAAGAGGTCACATTAAAGGAGAGGCAGGTTGCTAGCCAGCAGGGGGAGTGTTCCAGACAAAGGGAAAATCTGTCCAAAGGCCCTATGGCAGGTGTCTGAGGAACAGCAAGGGAACCCACGTGGGTTGGAGGAGAGTGAGAAAGAAGGCTGAGTAAAAGGGTAGGAGATCAGAGGGCTAAGGTTCCCTGGTAGGGAGAAGGGCCTCCTTGTCCATTGTAAAGGACCTGGCTTTTACTTGGAGTGAAATGAGGAGACTTGAAAGGTTCTGAGCCAAGGAGTGAGATGCTTCAACACCATCTCAAAGTTATTCTAGTTCAGCAGAAAAGGACTATAAACAAAAGTTACTTGTTTGTTTTAATTCAAGGTCATATTCAAGGGTAAAAACACACTATCTGCACTGGCAAAATGACTTTGTTTACAAGTTTTGGTAACCACCAGAAGCTTGTTAATGATACACAAACAGAAGTCATTAAAATTTATCACTGTGAAATTCAGACACTTTTTCAGAGGCTCAATTAATATGCAGTCACAAGGTCTTACAGGTTCCCACCCAGAATCTGGAGCCATACTTGCTATAAACAGTTTGAGCAAATCCTAAGGAATGCAAATCAGACTCACCCAACTGCCTAAAAGGTGGAACTCTGCCTAAGTGTATCATCCTCAAAATTTCTTGGTTACTTTATTACTAATTTACATATATTTCTTGATGATAGAGAAATCCATACAGTGATTCCAATCTTTTTTTTTTCCCCACCCTGACCCCATCCCAGTTAAATGCCAAAGCTCTGGAAATCAAGGTATGGGGTTTTCTTTAAGTTGTCTTTTCCAGAGTTCCCAGAAACAATGGCACATTCTACCCACAGTTGAGAATGCTGTTGTCTTGCAGGTAAATCCAACGACAGTTCTAAGAACTAGAGGTCACTGTAGCCTGTCTACAAAATGCCGTCATCAGCCTCAAGGCCTAGGTTCACTACATGGAAGTTATACTGGAGAGGCAGGCCTAATATGACTAAAAGTCATCACTTATGATTTATTCCCTGGGGATCACCAACAACCGTGATCCAGCCTGAGTTCTGGCAGAAAAATAGAGTAAGGTCACCTTCGGTAAATTAAATCAAATGAACAATAAATCAAAGCATGCCAGGTCATTGGGAACTAACTGTTCAGATGCTCATGACAAGTGAGTGGATCAAGGAGCATCATTTTTATGCATCTGGGCATAACATTTTTGAACAACAGAACATAAGAGGAGATTTTAGCAACTAAATTATTACCAGTTTGAGTTATGGGAGTCCAGAAGTGGAGCTGTTTTATTATTTCATTCATTAAATAACTACCTGTTAGGACCCACTATGGGCAAGGACTATTCCAACTGTTGGAAATGCAGCAGTTCACATGCTACAGCACCTTATCCACATTAAGTTACAGTTTCAATTTTGACCTCCTTATGGCTCCCTTTTGGAGCCAGGAACCTTTCAACCTGAAGAGAAAACCTGAAGAGGTCTTCTATGGATGAGGAGGATTCAGAGATCATTTTGGAGAAAAAAGGAAAGGGAGACATACTAGCAGAAGGTGGCTCTTCACAGGCAAATCTACACGGTAACTTTTATATACTCCACCCTGAAGCCAGAGCACCTGAGCCTCTTTTGCTTCCCTCATCCAACCAAAGGAGTCACCCCCAAGATGTGAAGCACCACTCCTCACCTCACCCGCTTTCTGGTACAGAAAAACCAGAAAGAGCAGAGAAAAGCTATTTCCAGAGACTGGACACATTAAGACACTAAGGTGAACAAAGGGGCAAATTGGCCCCTCAATACAATTTTTAAAACAATGTATTTTTTGCATTCTATCCATGATAACTGTGATTTTAAAATTTAAAATACACTTTTCCTCACTTAACCATTTCTACTCCTCAACTCCTCACCAAAAAAATTACAGTAAAATTGACATTAGACTTTGTAAGCTACCCCAAATCTACCCTATATAAATTATACTTCTGCTCAAGTTAGTCAGAATCAGTTTCTGTTGTTCGCAATTAAATACTTTAGTTGAAATAGTACCTTAGTGTGTCATTCAGGAAAGCTGAGGAAACCTCTAATTTTAGGTCTGCAACTAATTATCTGTTAATCTCAGGAGAAATTATTTAAAGTAGCTGGACTTCAGTTTTCTTACAAGCAAATTGAAAAGATTAGACTAAATTATTCCTAAAAGTTTATAAAATAACATGAATGACATAAAATAACAAACATGTTTCTATCTTATTTCTCAACATTAACCAAAAAGAGATCACTGTCAGACAGTGGTGGTTTGATATTTTCCCAGGAAGAATTAAATTTGCAAGGTAGGTTCTGCGTTTGCTCTAGCTATTCCTCCACCTCACTCCTTTGGCTCCTTGATAATGTTTAACATGTATGTTCCAACAGACAAAATCCCTCCAAGGTCTTCAGTGTGACTTTTTTAGTCTCACTGCTTATGAAAAAGCACATCAAAAGAAATGGTCAGAGACAAGGCTCAAAATTTTTGCATTTAAGCTTCACAACTAAATATTTGGATTGTGGTATAGGGACTTCTCAAGGGCACTTCAAAAGTTCCTCTTGTGATTCAAAGGTCTGGGAAATAATTTGCCTGAAGAAAACTTAGCCTTCTGCCTTGACTAGACTGGTTTGTGCAACAGCCTCTCCTTTCTAAAAAACAACAATCGTGGTTTCCATTTGTTGTCTTACGGAGATATGTTTTAAATTATTAAGAATAATAATGAAAAGACAAAAAAAATTTTAAGTATTTCATACAAAAGCTACAAAAGCATTATGTTGGGGAAGTTTGAGAAGTTTATTAGGTCAATCTAGGCTCTAATATACTCAGATAATTGATTTAAACTTGTAGGTGCAATAAATCACACTGGTCATGGAGGCGGCACCAGATGAAAATGAGAACACAGATCAATTAATTATCTGAGAGTTTTGGGCTTTCTCACTGGCTTGCTATTATAAAATCATTTTCTTGGTTCCATCTCAAACATCAGGGTGCCT